GTGTGTGTGTGTGTGTGTGTGTGTGTGTCTGGTGAATTTTTGGTAAAAACAAGCTTGTTCTTCATTCAGTTAAGTTACACACAGTGGGTAGAGTATCCAGAAGTTTTACTCCAGTAAGGTACTCATTTGATAGTRCTTCATAATAAAATTACTCAAGTAAAAGTAAAAAGTACAGCATAGTAAAAGTACTCCTAAAATTATTTTCTTCCCAAAAAGTTACTCAAGTAAATGAGTAAATGTAACTATTACCCAACYATGCCAAAGATTTATCATGACATCAAAACATGAATTTGACATTTGGTTTATACAGTTTTTAATTTCTGCCAAAATATGTCAATGAAAATTAATTTCATTGGGTTTGATTGAACAAATCTGTCAGATTATTTGTCAAAGTCAAATTTAAACKTGTGACTTGATTAGAATTAGGGTACTTTAACTTAGCAGGAGTACATTTTACAGCTTTGACTAGTTTTTCAATACCTGATAAACATTTAGATTTAGTCTAAATGAGCGAGAAAACCCAAAGTCAGAAATTTTAAATTTTACAGTTTGATCGTTTTGAGAGATTATAGGAAAATGTATTAGTGTGTACCTTGTTTCTCWTCTCATCCAGTTTATAAATTAAACATTGATATTTAGTTAAATAAAGCATCCTTACCTGCACACATCTCCGTCTGTTTTGTTTCCATTTTATGAGCGTCGCTCCAACAGAGACACAGAATCAGTCCTCCTTATAAAGCTTTCTGATAAGTACATGTTTCCAGTCTACTTTTACTCAATCCCCAAATCATCACCTGGACAGCACCTGAGAGGACCAGTAGTCAACAAAATAAAGCTGTTTTCCCAGGTCCAATCCAGCAGTTATCACTTAGAAACAGCTAAAGCTGCAATACTGTAAATCCTTCAAACACAGGGTGAGAACACAACACAACACCTGACACAAACACAACCCAATACAACACCTGACATTTAATATAAAGAACCTTAGTGTCATTTTTGATCAGGATATGTCTTTTAATCTCCACACTAAAAATGCTACCAGTACCGCCTTCTTCCACCTGCGTAATATCACTAAAATTAATTAAATTAATTCATCCAGTGGGACTCCACTTGGGACAGGACCTCTTCCCTGACCTGGAGGAGGCACGCTAACCTTTTCCAGCTCAAGACCATGCTCTTGGATTTGGAGGCACTGATCCTGGCTGCTTCACACTCGGCTGAGAACCACTCCAAAGAGATGGAGATCACGATCTAATGAAGCCAAGAGGACCTATTCATCTAGAAAAAGCAGAGAAGTGATCCTAAGGCCACCAAAACGGACCCCCTCAACACCTTGGCTGCACCTAGAAATTCTGTCCAGAAAAGTTATGAACAGAATTGGTGACAAAGCACAACCTTGGCGAAGTCCAACTCTTAATAGAAACGAGCCTGACTTACTACAGGCAATTCAGACACCGGTCGTACAGGGACCTAACAGCCCGTATCAAAGGGCTTGGTACCCTATATTTCCAAAGTACCCCCCACAGGACTCCCCAGAGACACAGTCAAACACCTTCTCCAAGTCTACAAAACACATGTAGACTGGGTAAGAGAACTCCCATGCAACCTCCAGGACCCTGCTGAGGGTGCAGAGCTGGTCCAGTGTTCCATAACCAGAACAAAACCACACTGCTTTTCCTGAATCCAAGACTCCACAATCTGATGGACTTGCCTCTCCWGGACCCCTGAATAGACCTTAGCAGGAAGGCTCAGGAGTGTGAACCCCCTGTAGTTGGAACACACTCTGTGGTCCCCCTTTTTAAATAGCGAAACCCAACACCCCGGCCAATTCAGAGAAACTGGATCCACTGAGGAGCTTTTTAACCAGCTTGGTGACTTCAGCACTAGAGATTGGAGAGTCCGGCCCAGGGTCCCCAGGCTCTGCTTCCTCATTGGAAGACATGCTGGTGGGATTGAGGAGGTCTTCGMAGTATTCTGCCCACTGACCCACAACGTCCAGAGTTGAGGTCAGCAGTGCACCATCCCCACTGTAAACAGTGTTTGTAGTGAACTGCTTCCCCCTGAGATGCCAGACTGTGGACCAGAATCACTTCAAAGCTGTACAGAAGTCGTTTTCCATGGCCTCTCCGAACTCCTTCCATCCCAGAGTTTTTGCCTCAATGACTACCCGAGTCACAATCCGCTTGGACTGCCGATACCTATTGGCCACTTTCGGAGTCCCAGAGGCCAAAAAAGACCCGATAGGACTCCTTCTTCAGCCTGACAGCATCCCTCACCGCTGATGTCCAGCAGCAGGTTCGAGTATTCCCTCTCTTCACCCGAGCGTCCAAGACATGCAGCTGCAGATCAGATGAGACGATTACAAAGTCAATCATCGAACTGCAGCCTAGGGTGTCCTGGTGCCAAGAGCACATATGGACACCCTTATGTTTGAACATGGTGTTTGTTATGAACAATCCCTTATGAGCACAGAAGTGCAATAACAAAACTCTGCTCGAGTTCAGATCGGGGTGGAGGGGTGGGGGGGCCTTTTCCTCCCAACCATGCCGAGCGTTGAAGTTCCCCAGCACAACGAGGGAGTCCCCGTCAGGAGCGCTCTCCAGCACCCCCTCCAAGGACTCCAAAAAGGGTGGGTAATCTGAACCGCTGTTAGGTGCATAGACACAACAGTCAGGACCCGTCCTCCCACACATAGGCAGAGGGAGGCTACCCCCTCGTTCACCGGGGTGAACCCCAACGTACAGGCACCGAGATGGGGGCAATAAGTRTGCCCACTCCTGCTCGGCGCCTGTCAGCATGGGCAACTCCAGAGTGGAAGAGTGTCCAACCCCTCWTGAAGAGACCGGTTCCAGAGCCAGAGTGGTGCATTGAGGTCTGGGCGAAGGAACACTGAATCCATTTAAGGCTCTCATCATAAGGGGTCTTTGGGCTGCACTTTGCCTGATCCCTCACCTAGAACCTGATTGCCTTGAGTGACCCTCTGATGAAGACTAAAGCAATATGTCGAAACATGTCAGGTATWTCTGAAGAGACATAAAATAACATTGTGTCTAAAAACGAAGAACAGTTAAGATTTATTTTCTAAGTGTTGACTGGTAAATATTTATTATTAGTATTTATGACAGTAAGAAGAAATACTAAATATACTTTAATACTAGTTGAATCATCATTTTTCAACTAGCTAAAAAGTCTAAGTTACTGTCTGACTTCAGGTTTGGTTTAGATCTTTGTTACTTATAAATTGTATATATTTTCTAGTATATATCTGCTGTTTTACATTATTGTTGAATGAAATTAGCATAGGCATTAATTTGTTTATTTACTCACATACCACTGTCTGCTTCCTCCTCTGACCTCTGACACACGGTCGTCTCACTCCTTACAGGAGGTCACTGTTGGGTCAAATCAAACTGTCTKCTAGCCTCCTTCATGAATTCCCCACATCTTTCTTCATGGACAGTGTGGACAGTGGATAGTGTTATAAAAATGATCAGTTCCTGTTCTGGCTCTGTGCTGCTGTCTGTTAAAATAACTAATTTCTTTGAGACAGGCGTTTGTTTTCTATTAAACTGTTCTTGGTTATATTTGTTCACTGTGAAGCACTTTGTGACATTTGTGTGTGTGAAAGGCGCAATAATRTTTACCGACTTATCTACTGGAGTAATATTATAACTCATGAAGACACATGATCATTTGGACTGTTTGTTATGTAATTAAAGGATATGAAACATAATAATTACAGCAGAAAAGCTCATTTATTCCGCAGCAGAAAGTTTTTTATTGCAAATAAAAATTAACAGGTGAAAAAAACATGTTGAAACAAGGTGAAACAGAAAATAAAGGGAAAAGAAACAAATAGAAAACCCTTCACATTCACACAGTTGTGTAATTCCCATAACTTCAAGTATTCTTAAATTATTAATTGCATTAAATAATTTTCCACCACTTATTTTAAACAGTGAKGATAAACTTCACTGTTTTTCATTTTGAACAATGAATGAAGTATTTTGAGACTCATCTCTGTAGGATATGTCTTTAAAAGCTGACATCTGAGCGGTTCAGGGTCTCAGCTGCGCCACCTGCTGGTCAGGAGGAGCCCCCCGCCCTCCTCTGACTGCAGGCTGAATCCACACCCGCACAGTGCGGTAAAACCTCCTGACTGGGCCACAGGACCACCATGAGTCACGACTGAAGGTCTGCAGGATGTCTTTCAAGGTAAACACGCKTCCTGTGTCTATCCGTGTCCGTGCGCGCGACCTGCCAGGAGGAGGGCGCAGCTCGTGTGTTGCACTAAAACACGGAAACAGCCGAGCTGACGTTTTGACTTTTAGAGATGGGGGTGTGCACGCGCGCGCTCACGTGCGCACATAATGATGTAAATATCTTCCTGTTCAAACTAATCTTTATTAGTTGTGGGTTTTTCGTGCAAGAGTTGTTAGTTCTACAGAGACTGTGTGAACATTTTTATTACCTGAACTGAAATAAAACTGTTATTTTTTTTTAATATTAGCTGAGTTGGTTCAGGATAAAATTAAATGTTCTACTGAGGTCTTGATCCTGCTACAGCTMCTAATGAGCAGTCAATATCTTACCTGGTTAGGGTTTGATGATTAGGGTTGGGCATCATTTCAGTTTGAATGGTTCCGATTCCAATTTCGATTCCTTTTTTCAATTCTGATTCCTAACGATTCTCGATTCCAATTCTTTTAAGAGGCTTTAAAGAGTAACTTACCTCAAAATTAACTTTTTTTAGCTGATAAACTGTCTAGAATGTGTCTAAAATGTTATATAG